TGCGCAGTTGAGTGGTCGTAGACCGGGAGAGCATCCGTGCACGCCAGATCCTTATTGATGGCTTCTCTGAGAACCGCAACGGCACACTCTTGGAGACAGAGATTCTAGAGCAGGCTAATGACGCGCTTGATTACCTCTCGAGAGAAGAACTTGACGTTCCGGAGGGCCTCCGCTTTACTGCGGCGAAGGCCCTCCGGAACGGGGGAGTAGTTCTAGAGCTCGCCACACCAGACCTGGCGAAGTGGATAGTGCAGCACGCACGCGATTATGAGTTTGTTTTGAGCCCAAGGGCAAAGATTCGCCCTCGCCAGTATAAGTTGGTTGCGGAGTTTACACCGGTTGGGTTAGATCCAACCGATACCACACAATGGCGACAGACAGAACTGGATCTTGATCTTGAGGAAGGGGCCATTGTGGATGCTCGCTGGATTAAGCCAATCCACAAGCGGTACCAAGGCCAACGTTTTGCTCACCTATTGGTTACGCTCTCCTCTCCGGAAGCAGCCAACAAGGTTATCCGAGCAGGTCTGGTACTAGCCGGCCGCCATGTAAGTGTAAGGAAGAACCTAGCAGAACCATTGAGGTGCTCCAAATGCCAGCGCTACGATGCAGGGCACCTGGCTAAGGAGTGCCCTCAGGACCATGATACGTGCGGAACATGTGCGCGCACACATAGAACAGCAGATTGTAAGATACAAGATGTGCAGCAGTATCACTGTGTGAACTGCAATAAGAAGGGTCATGCCGCATGGGACCGGGAGTGTCCTGTCTTTCTAGACCATCTAAGCAAGTTGAACGCCCGCTGCCCAGAGAACCACCTTCAATTCTACCCTACAGGGGACCCGGACTCATGGGTCCCAAAGCTGCATGACAGAGCTGTCTCTGCCACGTGGGTTCAGTTGAACGATGTAATTGAGGAGGAGATTGGGAAAGGCCGAAAGGCACCCTCGCAACGTGCTAGGGCGCAGAAAGGGCGGGCTCGCATGGTGCAGACGCAGCTCCCGTTCGGGTCACAAAGGCCCCGGGTTGACGATGACTCGGAGGAGGCTTGATATAGATTATGATGGCGCACTGACAGACAATACTACTAATTCCTTTTTTTTTCAGACTTGGCAGCATGATAAACCCAACGTTGACAGCAAGCTGCGCATACCCAACTCAACATGAAGGCAGATGAGCTCTTCGGAGGCATCCCTTTACAGCAGAGAGACAAGCACCGGTCCACATCGCACTGAGCCATGACACTGAGCCCTCCTCATCAGCAATTTCTCGCGCACAGACCACTGCACTAACGACACTTACACTTTCCCAGGCTACACTCACACATGTTCAGTACGATACAGTGTCCCTACATACATCCGCTGGTCATGCATGTATCCGAGACAATGGATCCCTTGTACCTATGCGTTGCGGGCATCTGCCCGCTCTAGGGGCGGGGGAGTTCTGACGAACGGCGGGGATACCGCTGGGCGTACTCCTGACCGCAGCAAGAGGCGGGTCCCAGGGACGCAATCGTACCCATTGGGCGGCAGGTTTGCAACCCGTACCCTAGCCTTCAATGGCCAAGGGTGGACAGGCGGCCACAACGCATAGGTACTGCGCCCTGCTACTCACTATTCCACCACTAGTGTACCCTTGCACCCCTCCTTCCGGTCATCGCCTAGCACTTCCCCTTGCCCCGTTCGCCACCGCTACTTCCCCACTACACCCCCCTAGTTAGCTCGAGCCTTGTGCTCACCATGTACAGCCGAACACCCACTTCTTACTCACGTCGATAGTGTTTGTAGTTTAAGGCCTACCATGAGGCGCGGCCTCGCAGGGCAAT